ACGCGCGTCAAGTGCGACAGCTGTTTTGACTGCGGCGGACTGTGTTTCCGCTGCGGTCAACCGGGGCATAAGGCGGCAGAATGCTCTGCCGCCCCTCACTGCCCAGTGTGTGCGGCGGGCAATAAGCCCGCCAATCACCAGATGGGGCAGAGAGGCTGCAAGCCTCCCCGCAGTTCTCGGCAGACGTCGGGGGTTAGCCAGTCGACCCAGGCTGCCTCCGATGTAGTTCGTGCGTCGACGTCGTCGCCCATGGAGGAGGTTGTAGAGACGATCCAGTAATGGATCAAGTCTCCAACCTCCTGGTCCAGACGAACCTGAACCACTGTGCCGCGGCGCAGGATCTCTTCCTGCAAACCATGGCACAGTGGTCGATAGGTGTTGCCGTAGTCGCGGAGCCCTATTCTGTCCCTCCCCGTCCAAACTGGATGGGTGACTGGGACGGCTCCGTGGCAGTCGTCGGTTCCACGACGGCTCATTCCCCGCCCTTGTCGCTAAGAGACAAGGGCACTGGATATGTTGCCGTCGAGTGGGGGGGGATCACCATATATGGTGTCTATTTCTCCCCCAACCGGAGTTTGAACGACTTCGAGGTTTTCCTAATCAGCTTGGAGACCTCGATACGGCGACTAGCGTCTGGGCACGTCCTTGTGCTGGGGGACTTCAACGCAAAGTCCATTGCGTGGGGTTCCCCCAGGACGGACGCCAGGGGCGAGGCCGTAGAGGAGTGGGCGGCCTCGGTGGGCCTCTGTCTTCTAAACAGAGGCTCCACCAACACGTGCGTGCGACAGCAGGGGGGGTCGATAGTGGACCTCTCGTTCGCTACCCCTGCCCTCGCCGCACGAGTAAGGAACTGGCGTGTCCTGGAAGAGGTTGAGACGCTCTCGGATCACCTGTATATCCGATTTGAGCTCTCCCGGACCCAGGACTCCAGTAGGGGTCACGTGGCGCGGCGTTTATCCCGCTTTCCGCGGTGGGCTGTTGCCAGGCTGAACCGGGACCTACTAGAGGAGGCAGCCATAATTCACTCGTGGCTGTCTCCTCAGGCTCCGACCGAGGAGGTCGACGTGGGGGCTGGCCGCTTTCGCGATGCGATTACGCATATCTGCGATGCGGCCATGCCCCGCGTTCGAGGTCGTCGGCCTCCAAGGAAGGAGGTCTACTGGTGGTCCCAGGAGCTGGCGGACCTCCGTGCGGCCTGTACACGTGCCCGGAGGTCCTACACACGCAGTCGGCGGCGTCACCGTGGAGACGGTGAGGAGGACCGGCTTCATGAGGAGTACCGACGGGCGCGGAAAACTCTGAAGCTGGCCATTAGCCGCGCCAAAGAGGAAAAAAGACAGGAGATGCTGGAGGGTCTTAATCGTGACCCCTGGGGTCGCCCTTACCGCGCGGTGCGACAAAAGCTCCGCGCGTTGGGCCCCCCCCTTACGGAGACTCTCCAGCCCAGCTTCCTGCGAGAAGTGGTTGAGGGCCTTTTCCCACAACGAGCGGAACACACTCCCCCGTCGATGGCCTCCCTGGCCGGAGACGACGGGGAGCACGGGGAGGACAATGTTCCGCCCGTCCGGGATTCGGAGGTAGGGGGCGGCTGTTCTACGGATCCGTTCCAAGAACACCGCCCCTGGGCCAGACGGGGTACCGGCCCGAGTGCTGGCCCTGGCTCTCAACCACATGGCAGACCGCCTCGGGGAGGTGTTCGACGCTAGCTTGGCGTCGGGACGCTTCCCTGAGTGCTGGAAAAGCGGGAAGCTGGTCCTATTGAGGAAGCCGGGACGGCCAGCCGATTCGGTCGCGGCCTATAGGCCCATCGTGCTGCTGGACGAGGCGGGCAAATTGTTTGAGAGGGTTCTTTCTGCCCGCATCGTCCGGCACCTCTGCGAGGTGGGCCCCGATCTGTCGGACGCCCAATTTGGTTTTCGGGCGGGGCGTTCGACAGTCGACGCCGTGTTGCGCCTGAGGGCCGTGACCGAAGAGGCCGTGAGCTGTGGCGGCGTGCTGTTGGCGGTGTCATTGGACATCGCCAACGCATTCAATAGTCTGCCATTCAGCTGCATCAGGGAAGCACTCCACTATCATGGGGTGCCAAAGTACCTGAGGCGGCTAGTGGCAGACTATTTAGAGGAGCGTACCGTCGTGTACGAGGACCGAGAAGGTAATCTGAGGTGTCGGCCCATGTCGTGCGGTGTTCCACAGGGGTCTGTTCTTGGACCCCTCTTGTGGAACATAGGGTACGACTGGGCCCTTCGCGCTGATTTCCCCCCCCGGGCTGGGTGTAATCTGTTACGCAGACGATACCCTCGTGACAGCCCGGGGGGCAAACTTCCAAGAGGCGGCGCGCCTGGCCACAGGGGGAGTCTCCCTGGTGGTCGGGCGCATTGAGGCGCTGGGCTTACGGGTGGCCCTAGATAAGACGGAGGCCCTGTTATTCCATGGGCCCCGTCGTGGTCCACCCCCTGGCGCCTCAATCGTGGTCAACTCGGTCCTCGTACCGGTTCGGGCCCAGATGAAATATCTGGGCCTGATCCTCGACGGGAGGTGGCTCTTCGACGAGCACTTCCGACAGCTTGCTCCAAAGCTGGTCGGCGCTGCGTCTGCCCTAGGGCGACTTTTGCCCAATATGGGTGGACCCAGCGTCGCGACAAGACGGCTGTACACGGGGGTTGTCCGGTCAATGGCGCTGTACGGTGCACCGGTGTGGGCGGCGGCTCTGACCGCCCAGAATAGGGTACGCCTCTGGCGCCCTCAGAGGGTAATGGCGGTCAGAGCCATACGCGGTTACCGCACCGTTTCGACGGAGGTGGCGTGCGCGTTGGCCGGAACTCCCCCGTGGGATTTGGAGGCGGAAGTGCTCGCCGAAGTTTATCGGCGAGTGGCTGACTACCGGGCGGAGAGCGGATTTCGCCCTCCGCCCGAGGATGTGCGCGAGTGGCGCGAAGCCGCTCGCCGAGCCACGATGGCTCGTTGGTCGTTCCGGCTGGAGACTCCACGCGCTGGCTTCGCCGCCGTGGAGGCTCTCCAGCCGGTCATCGCCGAGTGGGCAGGGCGGCAGCACGGGACCCTTTCCTTCCGACTGACGCAGGTGCTTTCCGGGCACGGTTGCTTCGGAAAGTACCTGCACACGGTCGCTAGGAGGGAACTGAGTCCCGCCTGCCACCACTGCGACTGCAGTGAGGACTCGGCCCAGCACACGCTGGCGGTCTGCCCCGCATGGGCGGCGCAGCGCCGGGCCCTCACTGCAGTCATCGGAGTGGATCTCTCGCTACCGGCCGTAGTACGCTCCATGGCCGGTAGCGACAGTTGTTTTACCGCGGTCGCAACCTTCTGCGAGGTAGTAATCTCGCGGAAGGAGGCGGCGGAGAGGGCCCGGGAGGACGACCTCCACTCGGACCCGATCCGCCGCCGGCGAACCGGGCGGCGGAGGCCCGCCTACCACAGCCTCATGCCGCCCTGAGTGTGGCCGCGGGTGGACGGGGTGGGTTTCCCCTCCACCCGCATTAGTTGGCCAGCCGCGAGGGGGCGGCGTCCGCGTGTGCCGGACGTCGCCTAAAGAGAGGAAAACAACAATATTGAGACGGAGCCCGCACCAGGAGCGGGCTGGCGCTAGGAGGGGGTCCGGATGTCTTAACAACAGCTGTTCCCGGATCCCTCCTGTTACAGGCGCAGAGTGGCACACCGTGTGGTTTTAGTCGGTCCGAGTCCGACACACCACCCCGCCGCAAACCCCGGAGGGGTGACGGTCCGAGGGGATTTCCACACGTTAAAAAAAAAAAAAAAAAAAAAAAAAAAAAAAAAAAAAAAAAAAAAAAAAAAAAGGACTGTATGGAGGATGGTTAAGAATTTCTACTTCTTTTTAAATAATCAATCGTTTGACGAGCGCTGTGTGAGCTTGCGTTGTCGTGGTGCAGGATGATGCGTCGCTTTGAGTTAGATTTTCGAAGTTCGGCGATGACTTGTGGTAAATAAACTGTGGTATACCACTCTGCGTTAACCGTTCTACGATCTTCAAGTGCAATAGTCGCAACATGGCCGGTCTTTCTAACGAACGTGGCCATCATCTTCTTTGAAGTGATTCGAGAACGAACAACTTTAGTCGGCTTTGGCTCGTCTTGAAAGACCCAGATTGTAGATTGTTGTTTGGAATCAGGATCGTAGGCATAGATCCAAGATTCGTCACCACTGATGATGTCGTAGACGTGATTTGACTCTCCTCGGTTGAAAGTTTTCAGAGTTTTCTTACACCATCTGACGCCGGCTGCCTTGTTATCGTCGGTAAGCAGATGCGGTATCCAACGGCATACTAGCTTTCTCACACCAAGCGCTTAATGCAAGATCTTCTGAATGGTTGTCCCTGAGATGCCTAATAGAGCCCCTATCTCTCGATACGTCACATGACGATCTTCGAGAATTAGTTGTCTCACAGCAATGATGTTATCTTCAGTGAAGGCGGATTTTGGGCGTCCTTCGTGAGATTTGTCACCAACACTAGTATGTCCAGATATGGGGCTTCATCACTGAACACAGATGTTAGCTCTTCAAAACACTGAAGCCGTGTCAGGCCTCTTCAAAAGTTGTAGAAAATTATTGCACGAACATTTTCCTTAGAAATATTCATTTTCCTACGTAACCTGACAGATTCCAATCGACGCTGTGACTAAACAATAGCATTAATCCTAATACTTTCAACTGTTTTGAGATTCAAAATTTAAATTCGAATATAGAACAGTTCCAAATTCAAAATTGCCGGAAAATATGGAAACGACAGAACTTAAAAGGCATGCCGTATGCGTATACGGCATGCCTTTTAAGTTCTGTCGGAGTGTCTATAATGTGTGTGCTTGAAAATCGCGAATCCGTATAACGGAATCCTAATAATCGATTCTCACCTTATTTCTATTTTTAGACTTAAACACACATGCTTATTGCACATGTGGAATACTCTACATAAGTGAGCAACCTAATGAAATATTTATCTAATTACATTTCATATAATTCCCCTCTAGCCCTACTCATAGCTGCTCGACTTCACGAATTCAACCGAACACCAGCCGATGTTGTCCGAATAGTAAAAGTTCACGAATCGACTCTTCGCAAGAGACTGCTTGAATTCGGTGACACTCCATCCAGCGCACTCACACTTGAGGAGTTCATGACGGTAGATTTAGAGGAAGAACAGGATCCGCCTGCTTTTAGAGCAGCCAGAAAGAGAGACAAGGAGAGGTTACAGAAGGTACTGTAATAATATGAAGGATTTTCGCTGATGCTTTGTCTGTTGCTTTTATAGAAGGTAATCATTCCCCTCATTAGCAGCAACCACCAGCAAGAAAACATTACTATAGCTCTTTTTTGTTTTTATACAGGATGGAAGTTCTTACCCTATTTAATTAGTTCGAAAACTTCTTTAGTAACTCTCTTGCGATAAAGTATACTCCTAGTCTATTTATGCTCTAAACCTGAGAAAATAATAAAATAAATAATTTACCTGGAGACTGGAGAATTTTCCACTATGTCATCGGACATAATTATTAGAAATAGAAAAGATTCACCTGATCATCTCAGTAAGTTATTCTGACTTTCTGTTTAGTTCTCTACCCTACCCTATGTGTCCTGAAGATTGATCAGATCGTAAACTGTACCTATATATTTCGTGGTTACTTCGCTCACCTCCACGCGGAATGTTGTGGGGTCGATTCGAACATAGAATAATATTTAGCCTAAAAGTTCTGCTATGTATGTATATATACATATATACATACAGAGATACTTAAATTGAAAATAAACATAAAAAACATGTGTATAAATTTTTTCTTTTCAGTTGATGGAAGAAGAAGATGGTGAAAAAGAGTTGACCGAACTACAGAAAGAAATAGAAGCCCAATTAGAGAGGGACACGAACAAACGTAGAAAAGTTGCCGCGGTCATTGGCACCTCAACCTCTTGTCTTGGAATTGGTAAGACATTTTTAAGTACTTATTTTTATCCCAAATGGAAAGTATTTTTTTTTTGTGGCAATGTAATGATTTAATATTCTAAACAACAATAAAGAACGAGCGGACGAGGTATAAAAAATATTCAGTTCTAGGTTTTGCCAGTGGTTTTCTTCTGTACTTTTGCGACAGTGTTTTTTATGCGTGAACGACACTATGTTTGGGTAAAGTTACTACAATTTAACGCATGTTATTTGTTACTTAGTAAATAGAACTAGTTTCTGCCCGCGACATCGCTCGTGTCAAAGTTCTTCTTTTCAATTCATCGCAATAATACTTTTTTCAGTATGATAGATTGATTCTAAATGGTTTCTTGGGTATAGAAAAGGACGTAAGGTCTACCTACCTTATATCCTTTTTTATATCAAAGAAACAAACAAATATATATTAGCTTTTGCCTGCGGCTCCGTTCGCGTGTTTTTCGGTTATCGCGGTAAAAAATAGGCTATCTTACTCGCTAATAATGTAGCTTTCTGTGCTGAAATCCCTTCGGATACCACCCAGTGGGGTAGTTTTGTCGGACTCGAACCAACCTCAACCTGCACGCCGTCTCGAGTACCAGTTGCCGGGGAATCAAGTGTACCCTAGACATGTATTTCTGTATTTCCGGACCGATACGACCTTCAAACCTTCAAGAAAAGAGCGTACTCCTTCCTCAAAGGCTGGCAACGCGCTTGTGATTCCTGAGTTGCAGGCGTTCATGGGCGGCGGTAGTCGCTTTACATCAGGTGACCCGTCTGCTCGTTCGCCCCCTATTCCATAAAAAAAAAAAGACAGAATATCCCAGGTACCCCGACGTAGCTCGGGCCATCTACGATTACGCTGCACCTAAACGCTGCGCTGACCGCTAAATTTATGAAAAGTGCAAGATGATGATGATGATGATATGTATTATTTACCGCTAAAAAGAATATTTCACATCATACCTACTACCGAATTGTTAGTAGCATACTCCTAGTTACATTTTTTTATTATTAAAAATCTTAATATATCGATTGTCTTTATGTTTTTGTATCCAGCGTTTTTTTATGTTTGAGTACTTCTGTTTGAAAAATCTCTCGAGTTCGCAGTTACAACCCTTGTTAATTAAGCTATTAATTTAAGTGTATTAGAACTCTAAATTAAATTCGGAAGTAAATATATATTTTACATTTAACTAAATATTAAATAGTAAAATTAATTAAAACCTGAAATTCCTTATTAATACATGGTTTCCTCATTAGATGCGAAATTAGTAAAAAAATTTTTACTTAGAAATCATATCATACAGGAAACTCATGAACATAAGGTTAATCAACAAAAGAGTTTTTTTATAAATATGTACCATTTTATTGCAACCTTCATTGTATTAAAATAAACTCGATAAAGGCAAACCTTTATTTTTAATTCACTAAGAAAGTAAGAAATATATAAATTCGGTAAAAAAAAAAACACCTTCACCTTCCTAAAAAGCCGACAACGCCGGCAACACACTCGGCTCAGCTCACTTGGCAAAAAATTGTTATGTACTCCAATTAATAAATTCGGTTAAGTTTGTCGGCGTAAGGTAAAATGGACAGAAAATTAATAGTAAGTATTTAAGATACAAAAACGTCGAGCCAGAGAAGTGACGATTTTACAAAATTTCCTAAAGTAATATACTTTGTGTCTTTATTATTTATGTGTAAACATTATATATAACAAACAAACAAACCCTTTACAAATTTGTCTGGCCAGCGCAGCAGCGTGATATAGTAGGCCAAAACCTCTTGTTTAAGAAAGGCCTATGTCCAGCAGTGGACTGTTAAAGGCTGTAGATGGTATATATATAGAATGTATAGATGATGTATATGTACCTAGTATATATGTTAATTTACTTATTTATCCAAATTAGTTTAAAATATACTTCTGCCACACACAATTCAGCTTCACCCAAAGGTGGGCTAGAAAGAAATACCAACGGCATGACCGAAGTGTAATTAATAAATTCCATTTTGTACAAGGGCTATATCCTCTTCTCTTGTTTAAAATAGACAACTCCCGCATTTGGAATATATCGTGTGGCGCGGGGGACTTTACAAACAAACATGAAACGGACACAAATAACACCCAGACTCAGAACAACAATTTGTGGACCACACAAAGTGTTGTCCCATGTGGGGATCGGAGCCACAAAACTCAGCGTAGCAGTAAGCGGCGAGGTGACCGCTTAAACCACTACGCCATCCGTGGTAGTCCATTATATCTATTTACCATGTAATAGTATAAAAGTCGATATTGCCATATGTGCATATGTTCTCTACCCAGAGGAATTTATCAAGATAATATTGACAAAATAATAACTTTACGTCACACACGGCCGTCTGATCCCAAACTCTAGGCAGTCTGTACTATGGTAACCATGCTGCTGATAATGTACTTCAATATTTCTAGATACACACATATTATAGATAAAATTACACCCAGACAGAACAAACAGTATTTTTTGAAGCGAAACTTCTTTATAATCGTAAGGTTTTGAAACTCGATGAAACGAAAATGCGTCACGATAAAGAAACAAACACATAAATGTATGAAAATATATTGCACATTATTTTTAATAAAATATTTTGACAGTTTGACAGACTTCGTTTGCGTGGAATTTGAAAAACGCTGCCTCGTAGTGGGTTCGATTCCCGAGTTTTTCTAAGATAAAAAAAAAAGTTCCACTTCTACCGTGTGTGAATTGCACACACACACTTTTTCTTAAATAAGTTCCTGTCCTATCTATATTATAAGCAAATATATTAATTTACTTAGAAAACACCGAAATTTCATGAAGAACAAATGGCTGGCTATATAAAATTGAAAATGCAAAAAATTTAAAAATAATGAATAAGTAAATCAAACCTATTTTTTTTTCTATAAAATACTGATTTTTTTATAGTCACCTATTTTTTTTCCTGATGATATTAAAACCCTTGATAACCTTAGTAACCTTAATAAGGACATCAGTTTGGTCAATACAAAGTTTAGTCGGTCGCGAGTTGCTACCACTACCTAAATGTAGGCCGGCTCGACCCAATGTTAAAATGCGAACTAGAATTAAAGCTGTCAATATACTATTAAAAAAACTCATGACTTACGTGAAAGTTCCTGTAATAGCGAGCACTACACATTCTGTAACCAAGGAACAACCCAACATAATACACAACACCGAGAGTTCACTTGTCAGAGTACTGCACTACGTGCAGCGAATTTATATTTTAAATAATAACCAGAAAACCCAAGTTAATGTATCGGTTGTCGCCTTCCGGCAGAATCAATGTATTCGACTTTGGTACATAAAATATACTGTTACTGTACTACGAAAGTAAATTTTGAGAGGTCACGCTGAGAAGAACTACTACAAAAGAAATGTAAAAAAGATATTAATATGCGATTGGTCCGAACAAATGTTTACATAAAAAGCGGTAAATTTTGTTTGTACAGTTTATTCAACTTTAATGAGTAGCGAATTTTATTGGGTCATATCAGTCACATTGGCACGGTCAAAGTTACTAACTTTTAGTCATACGTATTTATACACGAGTAGTTGAACAAAAAAATTGTGGAATCAATATTTTTTTTAGACACCCTGTGTACTTAAGTGTTATTAAGATAAAGTACAATAACAGGCGACTTTTTAATTACAAATAAATAAAGATAAAAATAATTGATAAAGAAAGATGTATATTTTTCAACTACACAAGTCTTACGAAAACCGAAAGCATTGATTTAAGAAATATCTAAAGCAAAAAGTTACTTTTGTTGTTGAGTCTTTATGTAATTATCATAATTTATTATTCATTACATTACATTATTCGGTACAGCTAGTAATGAATAAATTTTGTTATTATACTTAGTTGTGGAACATTGAAAAATACAGCTAAATCGAAATCATTTCTTTCTAAAGTGCAATAAAGGTTTAATCGTAATTAATGTCCATCAAAATGAAAATAATAAAATCTATACCTTCAAAAACTTCAAAGGTTCTGTAGGGATTAAACTCAAATTTTGACACAATGTTTTGTTTCTTATTTCTTTTATCAATGCTACCAAAATGTGTCACATCGAAGCTCACTACAGCTAGTCTGATATAAAATAAAACAAATTAGATATCATAAACAAAGTTATACCTTCTTTAGTAAAGAAATTTAATTTAATACATGTAAAATCAATTGCTTTGTCCATTTTTATGTAACGGATATAAAAATCGTCTACTATTTGCTAATAGTATTTAAACTTTAAACTTTGTTAAAACGTATTGTTTTATTATTAATCCCTGTAACTAAACCAAATGTGTCTTTTACTTTAGTGCGCTGTAGTTTTATGCTCGCGAGTACATGTCCTATATGCCTTATTAAATTGGACTCCTTATATTTTTAGAAGAAACCAGTTTGGAAGATGCTGAAGCATCGCGGTTTGCCGCAGAAGATGCATTAGACCTCATCGGAGAGCTGGCTTCTGATGTGCAAGCTAAAGATGAGGGGAAGAATAACTTCAAGGTTGAAAAGGGACTTGGTATGTATTTTTTGATTAAAAATGTAATTTATAAAAAAAAAACTTCTTATAATTCACATTTGCCTTACACGTGTAAAGTAAAAGTTTTAAATCAATCAGGATCCTACTTTTTTCTGTGAGGAAATCGCATCGAATACCACCCTAAAACGATACCCCGATGGACCCCGGGTCATGGCCACACCTGTCACCCATAGGCCTGCGCTTATGAAGGACGGTGGTCGTTCTGCGACCTTCAGTGCCCTTCAGCGCCTAAGTCGTCTGCGGTACCTGGCCCGTTCCCGGGCCTGGTGGACCGGGAGAGTTCTGAACCTCTCCTGGTCCCGCTCCCAGTCCGTACCGTGGCCGCAAACATGGTACTAAACGAGAGAGAATGCCCACATCCATGGCCGCTACGAGGTTACGCCTCTCTTCAACTCATGCTGTGCATTCTGCCAGCTTGTGGAGTTGAAGGATTCAGATACTATTTGCTTTTTATCTATGCTGATTCAAAAGATGAATTATGAATCTGAAACTTTCAGGTCCCGACTTAGCCGTGATTGGTCTTGGTCAACAGGATGACAAAGATAAATTCGTGAAGCCTGAACCTAAACAGTTCACCAAGGATCTTCATAACGCTGAAGACTTGATACTAGAACAGAAAGATGAAGAGTATATCAATTCTCTCATCATGACTGAAGATGAAGTGAAACATAAAGCTTTGCTGTGGAATAAGGTCAATGCTGGTTATTTGAAGGAACAGAAAAGTAAGTAAATTGCACATGCGCGGATTCGACCTACAGGCTTTTAGCAGTTGCATTTATTTTATAATCCGATTGTAAAAACAAAGCTCTCGATTAAACTAATCATATTTTGTTGATGTTGTACTAAACGAAATCGTCGTTATTGGGTCAGTTGCCAATCATAATATAATATAACGTAATGCACATATAATAATCATCATCATCATCATCATCAGCCTATCGCAGTCCACTGCTGGACATAGGCCTTGCCCATTGCACGCCACTTAGATCGATTTTGGGCTTCTCGCATCCAGCTCCTGCCAGCCATCTTGCGCAAATCGTCACTCCACCTGGCCTGTGGGCGTCCTACACTACGTTTGCCGAGACGCGGTCTCCACTCAAGAACTCGTTTTCCCCACGGTTATCGGTTCTGCGGCTAATATGGGCCAGCCCACTGCCACTTCAGCTTGCTGATCCGGTACGCTATGTCGGTGACCTTAGTTCTCTGCCGGATCACCTCATTTCTGATGCGATCCCTTAGAGAAACGCCGAGCATAGCCCTTTCCATAGCACGTTGAGCGACTTTGAACTTGTGGACCAGCCGTACCGTAAGTGTCCACGTTTCAGCTCCGTATGTCATGACGGGTAGGGACGCACTCATTAAAGACTTTCGTGTTAAGGCACTGTGGGATCGACGATGAGAAGACTCGACGTAGCTTCCCAAACGCTGCCCAACCCAACCGAATTCTTCTGTTCACCTCGTCCTCGAAGTTGTTTCTACCTAACTGCAATGTCTGCCCGAGGTACACATAATTTTGAACAACTTCGAGAACGGCACCGTGTACCGCAATCGGTTCCGGTAGTATACATGTTCGTTGAACATGACCTTGGTTTTATCCAAGTTCATCCGTAGGCCGATGCGTACAGAAGTGTCAGCTAAGTCATTCAGCATTTGCTGTAGGTCCTGCAACGTCTCTGCCATGATGACGATGTCATCTGCAAATCGCAAGTGAGAGATGTATTCGCCATTGATATTGATGCCACGCCCTTTCCAGTGCAGCGTCTTGAACATGTCCCTCCATTGCATTTGTGAACAATTTCGGGGAAATAACGTCCCTTGTCTCACTCCTCGATGCAATGGTACGGGCCTTGTTTGCTGATTCTGTACTTGGACGGACATGGTGGCGGCTTCGTAGAGACATCTCATCACTTGGATGTATCGCCAATCTACTTGGCAACGCTGCAGGGACTCTAGAACAGACCAGATCTCGATCGAGTCAAAGGCTTTCTCATAGTCCACGAATGCTAGACACAGGGGCTGATTATATTCTTCGGTCTTCTGTATAATCTGCCGCACTGTGTGGATGTGGTCTATGGTGCCATATCCGCTCCGAAACCCAGCTTGCTCCGGTGGTTGGAATTCGTCGAGTCTTTGCGCAAGACGGTTCGTGATGACTCTCGAAAACAGCTTGTAGACGTGGCTTAGAAGGGATATGGGTCGATCATATAATAAAATATTAGCTATTGTTCTGCTTAGTTTGCTCCCTTAGTCGGTTCTAACGACACCCACGGGATGAATAGGGGTGGTAATGCTCCGTATTCTTAATCCGTCACTACACGGATATGCTTACCGTAATAGGTATTTTAATTTGTAGTTGTAAATGTTTAAGTAAAAGAAGAAGTGCGAGCGAGAGAGAAGGAGGAGAATAAAGATCGCAAACGTAAAGTCCGCGGTTCCTACAAGAAACGGCTGCCTTGCAATGCTTCTACGGCTGGTGAGGCTATCGGAAAGATGATTGCGGAGAAGAAAATCAGTTCTAAAATCAATTACGATATTCTCAAGAGTCTGGATCAGCCGGGCACTCCGATACCAGCACCTGCAACACCGAAGGAGACCACTGTTAGATCTGAGTAAGTCCTCATTTATAAAATTAAAATAATATATAAAGCAAAATAAACCTCTTAATATTACTAATAATTCTTAGAAAAAGATTTTTGATATTTTCAGTAAACCTGCACCTCAGGCGATAATCAATATGATACAATGTATATAAAAAAACTGGTCAATATCGTGTCGGGCCACACTCTTTGTAAGGTTACGGAACCTAAACTAAATAAACTATAGAATCTTACTACCTTACTGCTGCCTGCTACTAAATCTGCTAACTTACTACCTGTCTTAGACAGTGTGGTACAGATAGACGGAATGGGCGAAATCATAAAGATTCCTTATTAGAACTGCGGAACCCTATAAACGCAGATATCATATCAACATATTATGTTACGTTAAGCACTTTTTTGTGTTTCTAATAAACATTTTTCATTTTCATTTCAAAATAGTCGCTGTTAAATAGCTGGCATGCATGGTCCATTGCAAATAATAGACAAACTACTTACTGCTATACTTAAAAATCTGAACTGGCTGTTGTATTAATGGTCTCAAATTATACAGTACATAGGGGACTTTCGGGCTTGTTTTCACGGTGTATGAGGAAGATAAATGTTCCCCATCTACCGTACATTTTATTTAATTTTCGAGAAAAATTTTTTAAAATTTAAAAAACTTTTTAAAAATAGGTTTTTTAACCAATGTTTACCCTTCCAACAACTGAGGTACGTTGGGGGCCCGAACAAAAGGTCATTTTTTAAAAAAAATTGAAACCAAACAAGTTTAAAACCCAAGTTTTTCTATTCCACCCCAAATCCCTGCCAAGCTACGGGAAATTTGGCCGGCCCTCGCCATCCCAAAAGAAACCCCAAGAAGAAGAAAGTTTGGCCCCGGCAGACCCAGGGCCCCGCCCCCCGCCACCCCCGAGCCCCCCCCCCGCACGCCCCCGTACACCTGCAACCCCCAACGGTAGTTTTTTGGTATTATCCCCTAACACCATTTTCCACACATTTAACCGAACGAAAAAAAACCACACAAACAACACACAAAATTCACCATATTTTTTAAAAAAATTTCTAGGTGTGCGTAATAAATTAAATTTTTGTTAATTTTTTAAAATTACTGAAATTAATAAACCTCCTCTGGAAAAAAACCCCCGTCTTTAAAAGGAACCCTATTAATTTCCCTTTTCCCCTTTACTAAACTTTCCCCTATCGAAGTATACCCCAATGGGTCCAAAAAATAATGTTTATAAAAATTAAAAATGTACAATGTTTTATAGCAATTAATACTCATTTAAGATAAGCCAAGTTTTTTGTAATGTTTTTTTACCTATTAATCAACTTTAAAAACTCCCAATGCAGAGGAGTTTGAAGATTAGAAGAAGAGTGGAACTGACCCAAAAAGGGAGGGTTGGCGACGAACTCTCGCTCCCCCCCATCCCTTACAAAATGGCGGACAAGATGATGATTATTATGACTCGAAGAAAAAAAAACATTTACATGCCCTGAAACGGGCATTTTGTAAGCAAATGTTGGAAATGGTTGGAGAAAATTGTGACAGGTCCGGGCTTACACCCACCAAGGATCTTAATATGGGGAAGAAAATGTTCTTCCCTTGGGTGATGAGTGTTTATTTTTTTGAAATACTCCAAGATAGTTGCACGAAAATTTTTTTTAAAAATGGGGCCCTTGTGTGGGTTTTTTTAAAAAAAAAATTTTTTCCTTTTCTTTTTCGGGAGCGCGGTTCGGCTTTGCAAATTGGGAAAAATATTTCAGCGTTCCCCTTGAAAAAAAAACCATACAGGGCCCCTTGTGTTCCCTATATTATTTTTATATTTTTTTTTTTCGGAAAATCTAACACAACCCCCATGTAGTTTGAACAAGTAGACCCAAAGTAAAATTTGAAGCTTAAATTAAAACTGATAAAATACATACATATTTTTTTTTCTAATTACATAAAATATTGTAAAATAAAAAACCCCCAGACCCCGAAATAAATTTTTTGGGCGCCCAAAAGAAACTTTGGCCCGACCCGGAAACAAACCCGGGAAAACCTTTCACAGCAGTCCCCATACCCCTACTACTGCCCACCACCAAAAATTTAAGGTCAAAATTTCTTTTTTTACAAACGGTAAAAATGCTGTAATATTTTTGGTATACTTCCCCAATGACCAAAAAATCCTAAATTTTACAGGGGTTTTGTAACGATAAGACATCGAAAAGGAATAGGGAATATGCATATAATTTTTTTTGTTTTAAAATAATTTTTTAGATTTTTTATTGTCTTTCCCCTTATATTTAAAAAGGTATTTTTAATTTATTTATTTTTAAAAACCCGAAAATATTTTACAGAAAGTGAAAAATTAAAGGGAGGAAATTAAAAAAAAACAAAACCCCGTCACTTTGGCCGAAACAAAATTTTTTTTAAAGGCAAGGGTTCACGCACGTCTATTAATCGGATTTATTTTAGAAAAAGTAATAGTATTTTTGTAAAAGTCAATATGCAAAAAGGGAAAAGTAGGATATTCCCAACTTGGGTTTTATTAAATGAAAAACCTGAGACCCCCCTTTTTTGTTAACCGCGGTTTTTTTTATAACCGCGAGCAACGCCCCGGTGGGGAATAGTCAAAAAAAAGTAGCCTAATTAACCTTTAGGGCCCTTTAGCTACCCCCCAGTAAAAAGGCCCCGTGAAATCGGTCCAGCCGTTCCAATCCCATAGAAACCGGGTTTTAAATCATACAAAATGCTTTTAGTAAAAAGGGGTTTTTTTTAATTTTAAAACCCCGCACTCCAATTTTTTATTTGTATAGATATTTTGGGGTTATTTAATCCTAGAAACATTTAGTTTTTTTTAATTTTAGCTGTTACTAAAAATTTCTTTTTTTTTAAATTTTTCTCGTTCCCTGAATCACCCTTTTTTTTTTTTGCAAACAACTGTAAAAATTTCCCTATATTTTTTTTTTTGTTGTAAAACGAAACGTATTATACATAGAAAAACCCAGCCCAAAATAAAACCTTAAATATTCATCCCCAAAACAAATGTTTGATTTTAGGGGGAAGGGAAACCCCCCAACCCTTTTGGAATACCCAGTCCGTTCCCAAAAAACCATACGCCATCCGGTCCCCTTTTTGCATTGACTAAACCCAACTTAATCAGCGGATGTTGGGAAGAAATAAATAAATATAAGTACTATCTTTCAATTACCCAGTGTTTTTTTTTTAAAACAAAATACCCCCCAAATAATGGAGATACCTTCTCATTATTTTAAAAACCATTTTTTCGTATTTTGGGCATCGGGTGGAAACAAAAAAAACATTTTATGGGGTTTCTTAAAAAAAGTCCCTTAATAATGTTTTTTGGCACTTCCTTTCTCATCCCATATTTGGGTAAAGATGGTTTTTTAATTCCCCTTTGATTTGTATAGAAATAAAATGAAAAAAGATAAAGAAACTAAAAACCCCATAGCAAAAACAAACAGGGGATACGAGGCCCCAAATTTTTTTAATTTTTAAAATTTCCCCCCCAAAAAATTTTTGACTTTTTTAAAGACTATATTTTTTCTAAAAATTTAAAGATGAAAAATGTTTAAATTTTGAAAAAAAAAAAAGAAAAAAATGCATAATCCCTTTGATTTATATGTGCAAAAAATTTTGAACCTTGTTTAAATTTAAATCGGAAAGTAATTTTAAAATGTTTGATAAAAAAACGTAGTCCGAAAGTAGTAAATAAAAGGGAAACCCCGGGGTAAAATTAGTCCGAGAAAACCCCTTCGGTGCTTTCTTTTTAAAAATGTTTTGCCCCCAGCTATCTATAGTCGACCACTGAGACTCTGCAAATAAATGTAGCGTGATGATTAACACTGAACTCACAAGCCGCAGCACTACGTGAGAGGGACAAGTCGCTACATGACCACGAGTGTTATTCGAATGAACTGAGCTTATGGCGCTCACTCACTATCAAATTTATTCTTCACTGTAAGAACTAAGAAGGCGTATCATACGCAGCAACGTTCAATTCTAGTCAATTTAATTTATTTCAGTGATAAAAAGATCATAATATATTTCATAAATTTTTATTATTGAATAATCAGTATTATTATGGGGTTCCGTTGCCAATTACAAGAGAAAAAAATAAGAAAATATTTAAAAAACAAACTTATTGAGAGAGTTAAGACTGCAAGAAAATACATTAGTTTAATACTTCTAAATTCTATATATGTACGTCGTTTGTTGATGGACGAAAGCGCAAGAAAACGCCTGAATCGGTGAGTTATAATTTTCCTTTACTCATTATACCTAGTTTATATATATAAAGTGAAAAATATCAATGAAATATTTGGATAAAAGTAATACATAATTCAGTTGGTATTTAAAAAAAAATTGATGCCTTAGGCGTATTAAATTGCGCGTATATTAAGAAAATGAAATAGATTATATAAGAAGAAACTCTATTTTTTAACCGACTTCAAAAAAAGGAGGAGGTTCTCAATTCGACTGTATTTTTTATTATGTCTAACAAAAGTTTTCGATGTAGCAATGCGTTTAGAAAGGTTTTTTTTAATGGTTAATTAACACGGCAAAAAGTAGGTATAGTAAATAGTTATTGAATACTGTGTTATTAGGTAGGTTTCTTTCATTTTATGTTGGAAAAGCCATATTACGTAACGATTGTAAGAAATAAGAAGTGTATGTACACTTGCAGGCAAAAATGGTAGCATTTTATCAGTAATGTAATGTAACCTTTGTTCTCCACTACGTCCGGCGATGCAGGCATATAAATAAAGGCATATAAAAAAGATAAGCTTTGAATAAATAAAAAGGGAAATAAAATCAAAAAATGAGATTAACCTAATCGTTTTTTCTCTCTTCAAAATTATAAACATATGTATATATAGATATATATAGAGTTTTAATAGTTACCAATGAAGAGTTGCTATATCTATTCAAATTACATATAAATATATTAAATTAATAGTTAAAATAGTTTATATTGACACAATAAATATATTGTTTTTATGGTAGGT